TATACTTCGTTGGGTCTTATGATTTCCTATAGGTTTGAACCAACTTTTAATATCATCTACAAGCTTCAGTTCACGATCCTGGGATTGGGCTTTTGTTATGTACGTCATAAATTGTTTTGTTGTGCAGTTGTTCTATGTTGGAGTTGGGTTTGCATTTTTTGAGAAGAATAGGCATACATTCGAACTTAAATATCAGTGTAATACGTCAGCCCATGCAAAGAATTCTGCGTCATTATATCTTGGTTATTCCTAGACAAACCAAAAGTAGATTCATCCGGGCCTTGGAACTCTCCACCGCTCATATTGTTTCTTAATTGACTCTGCACCTGTGTTCAATTTTTGGGTTTAACTAGTTATCTCAAGACCAAATGCACTGACTAGTCGTGTTCCTGGAGTTGTTAGAAACTGGGTGGTGGTTGTAATTTCTGGTGCCTTATTTACGAGAAATTATTCCGTGCGGACACCGGACGGAGAGAACCATTCGGATTTACTGCGTTTTACTGCTCTTTTGGAAAAGGGCAGTAAAAGAGCAGTAAATATTCAATTATGAATGTATTTTTACTACCCTTTTGATGTGCTTTTGCAAATACTAAGTAAAAGCACAACAAATATTCAATTATTTAGTAAATTTTAAATATTTGCTGCACTCATACTGCCCTTCTGCAAAAGCGCAGCAAAATGACAGTAAAAGCGCAGCAAATCCGGACAGCTCTCTACGTCCGGTGCCCACAGAGAATAATTAGTCCTTATTTACTGATTCGGAATTGACAAAAATCTAGTTTGATATGGTATAAGACATGCTATATCTATTATTCCCATTTGTGTGATTTTTGCAATTTCCCTCTAGTTTAAAAACAGTGCATACATCTACATCTCCGTTGCATTTGCACAGATTTGATAGGCTGTCAAGCCAATAGCTGTCTTCATTCTTGATGCTGCTGCTGGCCATTAAGTTCTTTGTTGCAGAAATTGCTGATAATGTCTAACATCAATTTTTGGTCATTGTTGCTTCCTAGGGATGTCACTTCCGCATTTTTTCATAACAATTTTCATGTTTGCTGGGGATGAAGATGGTGGGCTACGTTTTGGTTGATGTCCTTGGTTGGGCTGGGTGTATGTGGGATTTGGCCTTTAGGGTGGAAATCTTTTGTTGGCTGGTTGATGGCATATTTGTCCTCGAGCTATATATCTGCTTGACTGCTATTGTTATTTCCTTCTGGATCATTATCATAAGGTTTTCTCAGTTTCTTGAGCATTGGTCAGGATTACTCGTGTGTTTTGAGATTTCTTTTATGCTTGTGGCTGGTCCAGTATTTTGATTTCCTTTACTGTGGCTGGTAGCATGAGATATCTGTGCTGCCTTCATTGCCTCAGGATTGCTTCTTGGATCAGCTGGTTTGAGTATAAGGTTATATATTTGTCTGTCATCATATGGGGTATTCGAAATTTTTTGTTTACTCCATGTCCTGTTTTGAGTAGGATGTTACTCCTGTGGGGAGTTATTATGCAAGGTGGTTAGGTTTTGTATTCTTAAATTTATATTTTGGATGTTGTAACTCCTTATCTCTTTCATTCCCATGATTATGTTTGGTCGATTTGCGAACAACTATAGGCATCTCCTATTGTTTAAATCATTTAGAGATGATCAACCTTATTACTTTAGTACCTTGCACATTATTGATTGTAGGGGTGTTAATTTCGGGCCACGGGTCGGGTTCGGGTCGAACCCAAAATTGACCCGGCACTATTCAGGTTGGGGTCGACCCGGCCCGTTTTTGCAAACGGGTCGATTTTCCGGACCCGAACCCCACCCGCTTCGGGTTCGGGTCAACCCAAACCCAAAATTTTCGGGTCACGTTCGGGTTAGGTTTCAAGTCGAGTCCAATATTGACACCCCTAATTATTGGTTTGCAGGCCATGCATGATTTGGTCTTGGTTGATTCAATGTTGGTAGGTAGGGGTGTTAATAACTAATTCGACTTGGACCCGACCTAGAAAATTCCAGGTTTGAGTAAACCCGTTTATCATACTGGTCTGGTTTGAGTTCGAGATTCTGACCCGTTTTTAAAATCGGGTCAGCTTCGGGTTGACCTGGAAACCCGAAGGTGGCCCGAATTGACTTGGATCCTGCACTCGTGACACTCCGTAGCGGGCCACGCTCAAGACTGCGCAGGCAGCACTCGCCCTCCCACCTCCCGAGCTCGCGTATGCACCCAGACTAGCTCCCACACCGCGCTCGCGTTTATAACCTAGTCAGCGTATGTACAAGCTATGCTCACTCTCAGGCGTTTGCAAAACCAGATAACTCGGCAAGTCAGGTCCGAGTCAAAAATTCTAACCCATTTGCAAAATCGGGTCAGGTTCGGGTCAGCTAAATTAGATCCGGGTCAATTTCAGGTTCGACCCGAACCCAACCTGAATACCCATTTTGACACCCCTACTGGTAGGTGGTGCTATTATTACTTGTTTATTCTCATAGCCATCAAGTCGGGGTGGACATTCCTCCCTTATCCTATATTTTATTTTTTTGATGTGAATAAATAGATGTTTTCTTTTCTTACCCCTTTTTTTTTGCCTCTTTTTCGCGTACTAACCAATACTTTTCCATTTTCTTACATGTTTGTTGATGGGTTTGTGTGGGCTTCGAAAATTTATGCCCCATCCTTTTCGCACATCTATTTTTTTACGGGAGAGTTTTAATTAGTTTCGATTTCGGAGTAGATTTTTAGAAGGCATATTAGATTTTAGATAAGACACTACCCAGAGATTTTATCCTTATTTTGTAAGGACTTTATGATCTAAGTTCTAGTTTCCCATAGGTACAAATTCCTATGGTTAATTACCCCTCACGATAATTAGAGAGAACTTTTGATTAAGGCAAGTCATTAAATAGGTCGCAACAATTACCTAGTGTATAGTAGCAAAAATTTTAGGGTTTAAATTTGAGTTCATGATTTGAAATTCACCACCATAAACTTAAAGTGGGTGATTGAGGAATGATGAAGGGCCTGATCAAAATCCAATGGTTCCGTCATCTCGGGCTATCATGATCTTCGGTCTACTTAGTCAGAGGAGGTAGTCAACCCAACCTGGCAGAAGGAATCTTGTCGGCATACATTAGTTGCTTCGTCCAAGAATAGCTTATAGACTTGGGGTGGATGTTTGCCTAAGTGGTGAATTTAAGTCAACTTTAGCTAATAAATGGCTTTATATCTTATAGCATGCATCATATAATTCATTACTGAAGAGACTTTATGGTAATATATTGATGTCATTTTGCAGCAAAATCACCCAGTCAGAGAGCACATGTCACGTCCTTGCTGACGATGAATCAATTGAGAATGAATTACAGTAATGCATTCCACAAGAAATCTGCTCTTTGTAAGCTGAAGTTATTCTTTAATTCATCATCCTCGTCATACCGTTGCAAAGTGTGGATGGATTCTATTTTTATGTTTTTTGTGATTAGATTTTCATTTAAATATTTAGAATTTGATAAATATGAAATTCTTTCACTTTAAATCTCAAGGCATGACACTTATTCATAATGAGTTTTGATAACCTAATAAACAAGTTCGGCATGATCAACATATGCAACCCAGCTTGAGGAAAAGTGCAAAAAGAATCATATGGGGTATTCTGTTAGACTGGTCCACTGGACCGGTCCAGCCGATCCAGGCGGGACCGGTTCACGGGCGAATATCGCGAAACAGGCTATTTGTTCGCCTGGGCGGAGGCCGCGCGCACCGCGTGCCTTGCGGGAGCCGAATAGGAAGCTTTTTTGGGGAAATTAAGAGGGGAATTTGAATGTAGGGACTGTTTAGGGATTTCCTTTTGTTTTGTATGCATTAAATAGTAGATTTTCCTATGGTTTGATCATCTTGAATTTGGCTGAAATTTGATATCTCTTGGATTTAGGTTTTCTTTGGGCTCTAGCGGCGTCTAGAGATTTGGGAGAAATCGATCCTCCCTCGAATTGAGGATCAATTGTATCTTTGTTGTTTTATTCATCTACTAGTGATATACAAAAGTTTTTCTTCGTTTTTTTCTCAGAGTTCTCGTGTAAAACTCCTGTTTTTCTCTGCTTTTGGGCTGTTTCCTGCTGTGGACAGCAATAAATCTGCCGCAGTTTACTGATTTTGGCTAGGAACACTTGTGAATCCAAGTGTTTCCTATCACATTCATCCTTTCATTTACAATAATTTAACAATCCATAGACAACAACTTTCATTGACAACATTTCATTTCTGTTGTATTGTCAATCTTGGATTCCATAATAAAAGATTGATTTTCAGATTTAGTCCTTTCTTAAAAGTTATTTTCCATCTATTTGTGTACAATTCCTTATCTAGAACAAGGGATTCAAATTCAATCATGAAATCTCTCATTCTATATTTCTCTTCTCTTCTCATTTTATTTTTGCATCTAATTCTTTGCATAATTTTCAAACTCAAGGTTGTGACCTACAACATAAAAATTATTTACCAACATAACAATTTAAACTTTTATCAACTATGTGAAAGAAGATCCAACATGTAAACACCCTCCTTATTTATTTTATCCAAGTCTTTAGCCAATCAAAACTAAAATACATTCTAAATATCAACAAGACATATATGTAATTACAAGAAATTTGAAAGTTACTATATTTTGAAATTGTAATTATCTTCACATACCATCACATGGATGCACTATACTTTGAAAGTGTAATCATCTTCACATATCATCACATGAATGCATCTAACTGAAGATCTAATGATCTCAAAAAAATTTTGTACTAGATTTAATGATGTTAAAAATAGTATTTTTATGATGTAATGTCATCGAAATTAAAATTGGTGGAAGATTTTGATCCTCTTCTATGAAAGAGAAAGCTCATCTCTACAAACAGAGGAATAATGAAGCATAGTTCAATTGGTTCCATCCAAGTGATTTAAAACAGAATTTCATGATTCTGTGAAATTTACTTCAATGTGAGATAATGAAAATTCTAAACTCACCCGCCACCACGGCCAAGACGATGTCCCTGCCTGTCGAAGGCAACACCTGAAAAAGAATAATAAAAGATAATTAAAAATCTGCCAATATCAAACCAGCTTTTCATAGACAAGTCATTACCAGGTAAAAGAAAAATATCAACCGGCTCGCTTGCCAGCATAGCTGTAAAAGCAAAATCAAATATCTATGTTTAAGAATCTATCAGCTATTTGCTCCAGCCATTTATGAAAAAATTGAACTGCAAAAGAAAATTACCATCCTCACGATGATTTCCACTAGCATCTGTTGGAGATGGTTCAAATATATTCATCGAACTCACTACCAGATCTTCAGTCGTTGAGATGTGTAGCATCCTCATATTACTATTCTTGTCTTCAACTCGAGGGACATACAGCTTTTTCCTCATCTGTGTGTGATGGTCTTGACTTGAAAGTTCGATGAAAGATGTTAATTTTCCAAATTTTCCATGAAAAAAATGTTGACAAAACGCATTCGTTTGAGACGGCTTTCTTTTTGCTTCTTAAAGTAGCTTTTTAGTTCAAAAATTAAAATTTTTTAACTAGAAAAAGCTGCTTTAAAAAGCGGTAAGAAAGCCATCCCAAACCAAGCCTAAATTACTGCCAAAAATTCAAGAATTTTGTGGATGGAAAATGTCCTATACTTTGCTGCATGTTGGAGCAAAAGATGTTTTAGTTAGTAAAGTTCTAAAAACAATGATCAGCCATTTAGCAAAAGATGTTTTAGTTAGTAAAGTTCTAAAAACAATGATCAGCCATTTTCATTTTACAATAAATACAACTCATGCCACATTCATTAGTCTACCTTTCAAATTCCATCACAATATCGACCACAAACAGAGCCTCTAACATCTTCTAATGCAAGAGGATTCAATATAGAATGTGCTGAAAAGATAAAGAATGCAATCAACTTTGAAATAAATGAACATTTTGAAATCAACGTATATTTGTTTCACTACATCTAGTAGCCTTATGTTTCTTGATTTGACATAGTTGTCTACGGATTCCATCCATATACCCTTTTCTGAAGTATTGTGGTCCTTCACATCCCCACTATCGGCTTCCTTTCAAGCAACGAAACAATTTGGTATGGATTGTAGAGACCTGAACACTGGACTTTTTCTGAAGCATTGTAGTCATGTTAAGGCTTGGACAGAAATTTGGACGTACAAGCTAGGTTTAGTTCGTAAGTTCTGAATTTATAAATTTTTTAGGACAAATAATGGCATATTTTTAAGGCCTAAGCCAGCCTTGAGGAACATAAAGTCCAAAAACAATGGGCACAAAAAAAAATAATAATAGCAAAACAAACTCAAGATCACACTGTTGATTATAACCTATAACATGAAAATTATTGCAGATCGAGTTCTATCAATTTATGTAATAATTTTAACAACCCTAACACATATGAAAAATTAAAGTTCGATAAAATAACATATAGAAAGCTTTTAAAATCCTAGTTTTGGTGTTGTCGAATGGTGGTGAGACCTGCAATGCTTTATGGTGCCGAATGTTGACCATTAAAAGAGAAGCATAATAAGTCTTGCATAGATGAGGATGCTTAGGCGGATGAGTAGCTTTATCCTTAGAGATAGGATACGAAATGAACATATAAGTGAAAAGGTTGGAGTAGCTCCAGTGGAAGATAAGATCAGAGAGCGTCATCTTAGATGGTTTGGTCACATTAAACGGAGGCCTTCCGATGACCCGATTAGGAAAGTTGAGGTATTAGATTTGACTTATGTTAAGAAAGGTAGATATAGATCTAAAAATACTTGGTTAGAAAATATTATAAATGATCTTTCTTTATTAGATTTAAATGAAAATTTGACTTTTAACAGGACATAATGGAGAAAAAATATTCATGTAGCCGACCCCACGTAGTGGGACAAAGGTTTAATGCTGTTGTTGTTGTAGTGATGTCGAATGGCTAAGAATTAGGATTTCCTAATACAACTAATATGATATACAACATAATTTTATACAAAAGCAAACTAAGAATTCATGAGTCACAATATATCAATTAATCCATTAGCTCACTTTCTTTAAATAAAAACACATAATAGTAGTCATTAAGTCAATTGATAATGAAATGATATTAAATACTGAAGAATTTCAATAAAATTTTGTAAACAAATAAAATCAACAAGCAAATGAAAAATTTATAAATCCTAGCTACAACGTATCAAATTTTATCAAAATTAAGAGCACTAAACTAACTAATAATAAATTACATAAAATAAATAGACAAGTAATAAAATTTCCAACAACAACATCAAGACTTTCTCCAACTACGTCGGGTTAGCTACATTATTGACCTCTATATACGCATCAAATCCAATAGAGTGCAGCAGGGGAGGCGACTAGTGGACATGTCACTAGTAACGAGCATCGAGATGCCCCAATCGCTTTCAAAGCTACTCAAACATTGTTTGATTATAAAACGGATTGCACCGATAGAATTCAGCAAAGAAGAGTCACTTGTAAGTAACCCGATCATAAAATGATGATGATCACGATTGTTGGCGAGCAGAACGCAGCATAAAACTACCCAAATGATCTCTGATCATCAAATAGACTGCGCCGAAGCAATCAGAGCATTAAATTTATCTAAGGGGAGCCCCTTGCAAATGAATTGAGTGATGGCGGTCGAAATAAATGGTCTACGAAAGTCATGTTGCACAACGTCGCCCGAATGACATTCGTTCCCAAACGGACCTCATCGTATCGTCCTTAATGTTGAAAATACACAAAATTGTTGTAATATTGCATGGGTCCTTGCACGAGCGAAAATGCAAAATCAGCAGGAATTTTGAGGCAACGATGGCAGGCAAATTGAGATGCAAAAAATACAATAATTTGCATGAGAGTTCAATTCATTGTGGGCTCCAAAAATTTCCTCCCCGGCCTCTTTATGACCCTTTTCTTTTTCATGTTGTTCAGGAGAGTTTTAATGAGTTTAAGTTACGAGGTAAATTTTCAGAAGACATATTTGACTTTAGATAAGACAATACCTAGAGATTTCGCCCTCATTTTGAAAGGACTTTATGATCTGAGTTCTAGTTTCTTATAGGCACAAACAACTATAATTAATTACCCCTCCCGATAATGAGAGAAAACTTTCGATTAAGGCTAGTCGTTGAACAGATACATAGTATCCAACGTATAGTAGCAACAGAATTAAACATTGAAAATTGAAATCTTATCACTGTGTACATAAAGCAGGTAGTGGGGGAATGATGATGAACCCGAACAAGATCCCATGGTTCCATCTATCCCAAGTCATCATGATCCCTAGTCTACTTAGTCAGAAGAGGTAGTCGACGTAACTTGACCGAAGGATCCTTATCGGCAGCCATGGGTTGCTTCGTCCAAGGGTACCTTGTAGACTTGGGGTGAATGTTTCTCTAAGGGGACATATTTGAGTCCATCTTAACTAACAAAGGACTTTGCGCTGACAAAGTCAACCGGAAAATCCCTCAATTGTTTCCTTTGCAATATACAACCAACAACCCAACACTTCTACCTACATCCACTAAATCCACAGTAGTAGCTCTCTCCGTCTCTTCTTTCCCTCTACACGAGCCCATTTCTTCTCCTTATCTACATCCACACAACCCAACCCAACTCCATTAACTCAAACCAGCCCTCTATTTGCCCTATTTTCCCTCTAACAGATATTATTTCCCTCTCTTTACTAGTAGTATTATATTATTGTTATCAGTTAAAAAAAATAGAAAGTCAGCAAAGCAAAAAAAAAGGGAGAGAGATTAAAAAAAGAGAGATTAGTTGTGTTTCAATTTATCAACACTGTTGTTGTCGCTGCCTCTTGCTCGCAAAGGTATAAAGCTCGCTGAACTTTAAAAAACTCCTCAAATCCCATTGTCGACATTTACGATGTAATGTGCAACCCTCTGTACGTGCTTTTCGAAGCACAACAGAAGTAAGTTTGAAGGCAATGTTAGCAGCAAAGCGGGTGGGCCTTGTACGCACTTTTTGTAGCGTGACAAGGACACTCCTAAGTACTTGTGTACGTGGTTCTATCTTGTGGGAAAATTTACAAGCTTTCAAGCTGGTACTTCGAATACACATACATGCTTTTTGTAGCGTGATAGATTGAAGATATCGACAACGATGTCACCTGACACCTATCATACACATTTTTCGTACCATGGTGGGAAAGCCTAGCTCTCCAAAACTCTCCTCACGTGGGGGAGACGCTGGGAGGCAGTCAAAATTACATCTGAATAATGACTAGAATTAGAAACTTTAAAAAGTAACATACAGTTAAAAATGCAACAAAAAAGAAGATTTAAATGAACTAACAGGGAACCACACCTAAATGAACATTTAAGTTAACTTATAATTAAATAAAATTCATAAAATTAAAGGGATGAGCAAGGGACTTGCAACATCCAGTAACTTGTCTACAAGCATGAATGAAAAACTTATAATATACAGCCTATCTACAAGTAAAAATAGGAACCTTGCAATGTAATTATTTGCCTACGAGCGTTAACAAGGGCTTATAATGAATGTTATAGCTTGCCTACAACTGAAAAAATTGGGTACTTGCAGTGCGCAATAATCCACCTACGGATAATAATAGTGGACATGCAATGAGTTTGATAGTTCTCCTAGGGGCATATGTTGAGAAATTGCAATGAACACAGTAGCATGCTTATGGGCAAAGATGCGAGATTTGTAATGAATATAGCCTGCTTACAATAAAAAAACAGGAGAGTTGTAGTGAGTATAGCCTGCCTACAAGCAATATCAATCAACCTACAAGAACACATATATCGCCTACAAGCATGTATAGGGCCTTTACATTGAAAGTGACACCTTGCCTATGGGCATAAACAGGGAACTCATGGCGGACTGAACAATTCTCCTATGAGCAAGGGCAAGGAACTCAATGGTGAATGTGATAAGTTGTCTACAAGCATAGACAGATGTGTAAGGCGGACTATAACCCATCGAAGGAAACATGGGAGTGGAATGACACAACAAGTCTACAATTCACCAGTGAGTAGAAGTAGGAAATTCATAGTACTCACAATAATTAGTTTACATGTGAGATCAAGGGGTTCATATCAAACATATTAGCCTGCTTACTGGCAATATCAATCAACTTACAATGCTATAATTCACCTGTCAGCACGAGCAGGGACTTCGTAATGCACGCAAAAAGTAGCCTACAGGCCTGCCTCAATGCAATTTCAGTGAAAAATGCCTCGAGCTTTTTTTATGAGGCTTACGCCTAATCTTGGTTGAGGCGCGCCTCGCCTCGTTGGCATGAGACATACACATCGCTTTATTTATGTATGTTTTTTATTTAAAACTTAGCTAAATCCTATACAAAAGCTTTAAAAAAAATCATGCCCTCTTGCGCTCCAAAGCTGCAACAACTTCCTCTCAACTGCCTCGACCTCCAGCCTACTGCCTTCGCCATAGACACCACCATCGTAGTCATGGCCGGAGATCACTTGAAATCCGCACACCATCACCATCTCCTCTAAAAATTTAAGTATTAATCTTAATTTATATTGATGACAATCATTTATGAAAGAGAAAGATGACTGAAATAAATAAATAAGTTGAATGGGAGATATTGGGCACTATAGGATAAGTCAAGGGAGAGGCCAACTTGTTATGATTACTCAAATAAAAATCCCCTTAGCCCTATAGGATAAGTCAAGGGAGAGGCCAACTTGTTATGACTACTCAAATAAAAATCCCCTTAGTAATGATAGTACATATTATTTCTGAGTTATTGTCAATTATTTTAACTTTCTTTAGCAATTAAATGTAAATGAATAGGGAACTGAGAAAGAAGAAATTTATAGCTAAACTTTATGTTATATGATACATTTATGCAATTCATAAATTTTATGTTATTTTTCTCATGTAATATTTGGATTTTAATTCAATTTCACATAATTTATTACTTACCACTTTACATTTTGTGTAATTTTTTTGTTTCATGTGTATATAAATTTGTTATTTCATGATTCAATAGAAAGTTAATATGTTATCCTTTAACATATTACTTAAGTATTATATAAAAATTCACTTTTAACTTTTATTTTTTTACTTCACACAATTTTTAGATTTTGAGACTTACACCTTAAAACACCTTGAGGCTTACGCCTCGCCTCATGAACGGAAAAACGCCTCAATACCCAATTGCGCAATTTTAAAACTTGGTTCTGCCTATATTACTACTTTTGTTTATCATCCTATAGTGACTTTTGTTTACTTGTTTGCAGGTGTTCATGGCTAGGGGAGCCAGGAGCCAGGAGCTGGAGCTTACCATGAGTTGGGTTTAGATTTGTTAGGAATTTTTTGAGCTTTTTATGAGTTTGGTATTTTTTTTAATTTTAAGAGTTTGGACCTTAGTTGGTGTGAACATTGTTCAATTTTTTTAATGCATTTCATTAAATTTTGAATTAATTTTTATTTATTAATTCGTTTATTAATTAAATAAAACTAAAGTTTAAATTTTAATTTAAAATTAACTGCTTAGCTCATTAATTTAAATTTTAAATTTAAAATATCTTTATGTTACTTAATTTTAATTTGATTTATCATTAAAATTGTTAAATTTAGTTTTAATATTAATTAAAATTGATTAGATTTTAAATTGGTTAGTTATTTAGTTAATTATATTAATTATTAATTTGTTTAAATAAATGATGAGTTATTTAATTAGTTAATCAGTTGGTTAATTAAAATTTTTAATTGATTAATTAATGTATATTATTAATTAAAAGTTCCCTTGCTCAAATTAATTAGTTCAATTAAGTTAAAGATTTAAATTTTATTATTAAATTAACTAGTTTATTGATTAATCAATTATTTAATTTGTTAGAAATTTCATTTTTTATTGAATTAATTAATAAATCAGTTAATAATTTTTTTTTATTTTAAATAGACTAGTTAAATAGTTAATTAATTAATAAAGCTCTAAAATTTTAAGTTCTGTAGCCTCCCAAGACGATTTTGGCAGCTTTCTAACACCCACTCCCCTTGAGAGGAGGTCGGGAGGGCACTTGCCCTTTCAAACCCGCCCGTCTGGATAGAATTTGACAGTCGAGAGCTTCGAGAGAAGAATCAACCACAAATTGGTCTTTATGGCTTCTAATTTGGCGTATGTCAGGAAAATTTTAAATTTTGGCATTTTCTCGAAATTTCGGCAGCCTTTTGACACCCCCTCCCTGCAAGTGGAGGTTGGGTAGGGCACTCACCCTTTCATGTCCGATCATCATATCAAAATTGACGATTAATGACTTCGGAGAAGGGATCAACCCCAGAATTAGTCTTCAGTTCTTCAATACTCATAGTTTCTTTATTATAATATTTAGGTAATAAAAAAAATAGAAGTCTATTTTAATTACTGAACTAAAGTAGACAGGCTTGGATGAATTGATCAAACAGGATGGATGCAAAAGATTATATCAGCCTAAGGGAAGTCGGGTCGGACGAGCACGACACTGGTTCTCAATCAAGGCAATCTCTGAAGAGCTATTAGATGGGGCTGGGACAATCACGACTATTACATGCAAAAGAGGGAGAGTGGCATGTGGGATCGTAGTCGGAAGTGAGAGTCGCGTGCAATAGGTTTAGCTGGAGGGGGGCTCTTGCGGTCGGGAGATGTTGTAGACGGACGCCATAGTGGGGTTCAGTCGGAGGCCCTACTTGCGGGATTGATCGAACACGGGAGGAAGTTTGGTGGGCTTCTTTATGCTTGTGACTGAGAGAATCTGATGACTAAGAGTTCAAATGAGCGAGTGGGAGAGATTCCTACCATGTGAGGGAGTTTTGTGTCGGGAGTGTGGCAATTGCAAGATCATGCATGAGTGGGGGTAGTGGGAGCCGACTGGGTTGGTTGGTTAGAGGTCAACAATCACTAGCTACAAGTAATAAAATTGCCAAAATAGAGAAAAATCAAGCCTCACGCCACTATAAAGAGATGAATTCTACTATAATAAGATAGTTATAGTTGCATATGTATCACAACCGAAAGAATCACACATCTCATAGCAATCTCAAAATTAAAAATTTGAAGAGATTTTATTCAAGCCAAAATTATAGAAAAAAATGCCTCAAAATAATTATTTAAAGGTTCATCATCCCCTAAGCCAGTAGATATGTTCAACAAAAAAATTAGCCCAATTCAGGTTCAGTTAAACTAAAATTCAAAAATCGATTTTTCATGGATAAATGTTGCAACAGAACCCCAATTCAAACTATCCAAACCAACGACGGCATCTTAAAAATAGAAGACCACTATTTGCAATATGGAATATAGCATTCAGCAATAGAAACCCCTTGGAGGTGAACTACATGTTATAAAAATAGATCAATCAAGAAGGAAAACAAGGTGACTGATAGCAAGCTTATCCAAGGCCAACTTCTCTTGTACCACGAAAACAAAAATATGCCTCCATCCATGAAAAGAAAACCGCTAGCCAACCATATCAAATAGAAGATTTAACTGCATAATCCAAAGTAGTGAACATATTATAATACTTGAATCTGATAACAACCAAAAACTGAGCTAGCCAGAAGTCATGCCAAACTACAAAAGCTAACCTAACACCACAAAATCAAATTACTAGAGAACACATCCTCTTCTTGAAAGAAATCATCATAATCATGCTTAAAGTATCTACATTTGAAAATTATTATATAAACTAACTACCAAGCAGATGAAACTAAAATCATATTGGTTAAGTCATTTATTTGCTTGACATTTGCGCCAAGTATAAACTAGTAGATCACCATCATCTAGCCATGTATTTCACTAGTCAAAACTAACAAATATACATAAATGATACCATCAACGATCATGTACTTAATTCCAAAGCATTTGCAAGACTCTACACTTACAGATCAAAGGTCTCTTATTATGCAATGGAACCATCCACTTAGAAAATTTTGTGGAATCTAATTGATTATCAAATGAACTTAAAAATTCTTAAAATTTGTAATCTCTTGAGTGATAGAAATTTAAGAGAATACTCTTGTCGGAAGTATAGAAAGTGGTGATCAATTTATATGATTTTTATTAGAATATTTTGTTTTCTTTTAGTTTATTACGTGTAAAGCATGCCTATGATATCAGCTCCGATACAAATGGGATGTGCTCTTTAATATTTTGAAAAGTATGTAACTCTTGATTGCATGTTCTCAACTCAGGCCAGAGGGGCTAATCTGATTCCATCACTTGATAGGGAGAGGGATGTGAAGCAAAGATTCCTCAACTGCAACCACTCTCAAAAAATAAACATAGATATCCGCTAGTGATTGCAAACAGATTCAGCCCCCTTTGCAATGACGGTAATTCCAATTCAGGGCTTGTGAAAATATTTTTTAGATTTCTAATCACAATTATAAAATTGTTTTTAGCTCAACTACTAGGGGCTAGCCTTATATGCATTTTTTGCCCATTATTTCTCCAAGAATTGCCAATGCGGTGCAAAATGGATTTATAAAAATTCAAATTTAATGAACGGTAAAGAAATATCATCACCATCATTTATAAAACCATTTCGTGTTAACCTTGCGCTGTTTGTAAAGTGATAAATACCTGAGTGATCAAGCACATAAGGAGTTTTATTCTTCAGAATTTCTGACAAAATTCTTGTTGTATCAACCTCCCTCAGCGCATCACAGCTTATATAAGCACATAACCTCTTAGCAGACTTGAACCATGGAGAATTCAGTACGAAGTTCTGAATTTCCGTATCTGTGAAACATGACAAGTGCCGAAAGCTTAAGTTTTTCAAATTCCTGCATATTGCCACAAGAAAATTTTCGTATGTTCCAAGAAAGTAGTTTGAAAACAACGAGCAATCTCCAACTCAACATAGAAAAGACCTTTCTACTGAATAATTAACTGCAATTAGAATATCTTAGAAATTCATAATTGGTGGTTACTTGATGAATTTGTTAAATTAGAGCACGGAAGAGTTTAAGTGCAATAAAAATTCAGTGATGGGCCATCAAATCATTCACGTTTTTTTACTGAAGCCCATATATAACCATTGGCCAACAAGAGTATGACTATGAGGCATTGCATGGGTAAATACTGTAGCATGCGTAAATTAAGCTTATTATTTAAGAATAAGTTAACTTTGAGTTATGCAAAATTACCATAAACAATCATTCAAATTACTTGCAGATATTACAACCATTCAACCTCATAGTGGTCTCAGGACTCGAGGTATTAGACCAAGAAGCAGCACATTGGATTTAATCATGGCTAAACCCGGGCACTATAATGAGTCAGTTGATTCATACAAAACCATAAATATATTAAGATTGCATAGTTTTATTTTGAAATATATTATTATATAAATAAAATGTATCTCTTCTATTTATTTATTTATTTAAAGTTCATTATAAAATATTTTTAACGAGGATATATATATATATATATATATATATATAAAAAAAATTATGATATTTTTAAAATTGACAATTTTTGGCCCCACACTAAAGAAATCCTAGCTATGCCACTAATTGCAATCCAAGATATTCTAAGTTTGAGGACTAGCATATGCATATGTTTGTGAGATTTATTCTCTGGTACTCAATTTTCAAAAAGAGAAAAAAGTAAAAACAGAAGAAACGCTAAATGTTGCTCTCTATTTTTAAGGATATATTAATAATCCAACTAAAAGCAGCTGAGACCTCCTTAGCTTCTCTCTGGTGCTCAATTTTAAAAAAGAGAAAAAAGTAAAAACAGAAGAAACGCTAAATGATGCTCTCTATTTTTAACAAAGGATATATTAATAATCCAACTAAAAGCAGTTGAGACCAACTTAGCTTTCATAATATTTACTTTTAGTGCTAAGCCTTAAATAACAGGAATCCTGTTATAGAAGTGGAGTCAGAGCAATGAGACCATTCCAACCATGGCAAAACCACCGCTAGTGAAGCCTTCAAAACAGTTTTCACATATGACAAAAACCACCACATATCCACTATAAGCACATGATAGACTGTTACGAATCAGCCTAAACCAGCCCAGGAGGGGCCGGTTCGGACATACAGGAGGCGGACTAAGCCGCCTCCTCTTAAACCCATTGCTTAAGTGGGTGGGTCCCACCTCCTTGGGCGGCAACTAGAGAGAGAGGAGGGGGGCGATTCATGCAAGAGAGCAATTTGAAATAAAATTATATTAGGAAGCTTTTAATTATGAAGGATGTATTTAAAGAGGATGAGAGGCTAGGATTAGGGCATGCATAATTTGAGTTGTTTTTTTGGAGAGTTCCTTAGTGTCTTGAGGTCTAGATCTACAATCTAGATATTGGGAGAGACGATCCTCCTCTCGAATTGAGGATCAATTGTATCTTACTTTGAGTTTTGCTTTGCTTTATTTCCACTATCGCAATCTATCGTTTCTAGATTGATTTGTCCAAATTTCTTATTTTTTTCTCGTTGTTTGAACCAATTATTGCTAGGGCTGCTTGCGAACTCAAGTAAATCCATTAGGATTACTTGCGAACTCAAGTATTTCCTATCATAGACCTCTGTGAGGATGATCCTTGGCTAAAGATGTAAGGTTTAGATAGCCAGTGTGTGAGCGTTGAATATTAATAGCTCTAGCAATACAGAAGGTGCATGCACAACTATAATCTCCAACAAACTTTGAGGAAGGTAAACTCAGTCTAATACATGGATGATGATACGAGGGTCGACTAGCCAAGTACGAGTGACAGTCTAGAGTTCAGGTAATAGAAGACACCACATTCCAAATCGCAGAAATCGTAGAATAAGGTAAAGACACAAGTATAACTCTAATACCTTGAAACCTCACCGTTGTTCAGGCTAATGGTTCATTCAAAAGTGCCTAACAGTATGAAGTAAAAGTGGGTATGGTTGTAAACCTGCAACCACTTGATACCTTTATAATGCCAAAATATATTCCAAAAACCTTGAAATCATTCCATTGTGAATCATGCAATAGAGTTGCAAAACAAGTGCACAATCATCCCTCGAGCTCCTTTCATAAGGCTTCATCGGGACTTCATAATACCAAGCAAGAGGGCCCATGACCATATTCAAACGACCTCCACATAATCAGAGCTTGTTAGAGAAATTAATTGGTTTTTCATCTCAAGACTACATCAGTGAGATTGCTCATCCAGAGAAGGAAGGCAATGTTTAACTAGTTGGGATTCAAAACAAAACATCTAATGAAAAAATAATAGTGTAATTCAAAATAATAATATTATAGCATCTACCACTTTGGCTTCAGTTAGCTCATACTTGACACGTGCCTCTACACAATTTCGAATGGCAAACTTAACGAATTATGCAAAGACTGTGTCCAGCATTATTTCAAATACCCAAAATTTTAAAAAGATGAGATGAAAATTTCTTCTAAAAATTATACCTCAATTTTTGGATATCTAAAAAGTTATCAAAACTATTTTTATAAAATTCTAAATTTTATTTTGATTATTTTGCTATATAGAAGTATAAATATATAAATAATAATATTAGCATTTTATGATTAATTTTTTAATTTTAATAAAATTTCTTATAATATTTAATTTGACTGTTCACCTAACTAATATATTGTAGCAAATTAGCAATTAGTGACCTACAACTGCTAGTAAACTAAGGGACAGCTGTAGGGGAGAATTCGTTAGATGTAATGCTTAAACACGCATATAATTAGCTATAAGAAGCCATCCCTATTTATCTTTTCCATCCCAATTCCATAACAGCAGCTGGAGGCTTGATAATTGTGATTAGGGGGGCTCGGCACAGTAAAAAAAGATGAAAAAAAAAGTAGGAAAAAAAAGAAGGGAAGAAGGAAAGAAGAAAAGGAGGAGGAGAAGAGGAAGAAAAAGGGAAGAAGAAGAGAGGAATAAAAAGGGAAGAAGATAAGAAGAGGAAAAAGGAAGAGAAGGGGAAGAGGAGAAATCAACATTTTTAATAAGAATTATTTTTAGCATTTTCTTCTACAAATTTAGTTTAGATTCGAAGTTATAAGGTTAAAGGCTTAAATGATGAGAAATCATTTTGAGGTTAAAATATTATCTTAAGTTAATTGATTTAACTTTGATTTGATAATTGATGACTTTATCTTAACTTGAGAAATTATTATTATAAAGTTGTTTATTAAAGAATAAGATGTTGAGGCAATAAATATCAGGAAATTCATCCAAAAAAATATCCTATAATTCATGTGAGATATTCAATCTCTAATATAAAGAGCAAATTATTCTTAGGTACACTATTATTAATTTATATAATCCATTGAATAATTATGTGCATACAAGTATATATTTTTCAAATTGCGCATAGCATACCATATTAACCAGTCTACTACATTTCATTGAATCACTGATTTAAAATTTTAAATGAACCTAAAATATATTAATTAGCTCAATTCATCATATTTTTAGATAGAATATAATGTTTATTCACGCACAAAGAGATTGATTATTACATATCATGTTACCTTTGATGCATAGTAAACAGATAAGTTGATAATAGTAAACAGATCAGTTGATAATAGTAAACAGTATCAATGTTGAGAAATTTAATATCGATGATAATGATAATAATTTGAAAAATGTTCAGAAAATGTCATGTTATTTGAGATAGGTTGACAAACTATGATAACATGTATTGAGGAGAAGAGAGTATCAGAATAATTTGACCTTATTGTCTTCAAGAAATGCTGGAACATTTACAATATCAAATCATCACAATCAAAATCTAACATCAAATCACAGGATTGGACCTTTGCAAAAGTGTCAAGTATTTAAACTCTCTTCGGAAATGAATGGCTTGACATCTCATCCAGATGCTTGAAAGCTCCAATAATCAACCCAAATATCCCCTTCATTATGGCATCATCATATGGAGCATTTGGTGATGTTATTCTTGTATTTCACTAAGACAAGATGCAATAGAAACTTTCACATCCATACTGAGAGCCCAGAAGATCCTTGGCAATCAATGTCTTCATAATAGGTTGAACATCAATCAACATTGAAGTAGATGGAGGTTGTTCTATTCTTGACAATAAACTTTCAGCGTTATCAATAAGTAGCAAAAATTGTTATAAATCTAATGGAGGAGAAATGTCAGCTTATTTCTGATGTCTTTGACCCCATCCTCCAGTATTAAATCATCAAGTAACATTTGCACACCTTTTAATAGTATGGAGACTTAGTGGTTGCAAACACTTACATCGTTCAAAGCCGAGCGCAAACCTCATAATCTTGTATAATTCAATTTTGTGTATCTCGAGAAGTTCTATATGGGGATGAGAGAGGTCGCATGTACGACAATAAGGGCTGCAAGCTCTCGATCCATCGCAGGCGCACACAAGACCACTGATCCAAGCGCTCGGTTCTTCCCAGACACATGCAAAAAACTTTTGGTTGCACGCCTCTCGCATCCTATTTGGTCATAAGCACGCGGGAGGAGTTCACAAGACGTTCGTCATTCTCGATCGAACGCAGAGACTGTGGGATTCTCGCTTGACTGCTCCATATGAGACGCACGAGACATTTGTCTCTCTCAATCAAACACAATCGAATGCAGAGATCATGGGGTTCATACTCGACTCCTCCAAACCATACGCAGGAGATTATCGTCTCTCTCGATCAAATGTAAAGATCGTGGGGTTCACACTCGACTCCTCCGAACGAGACGCACGAGACATTCGTCTCTCTCGATTGAACGCAGAGACCGCGGGATGAAGCACTCTCCTCCTAT